GTTTTGATTTTTTTCTTTGTTTGTTTTGAAGCTTATGTAACTCACTACCTAGACAAGACTTTCTACAATCTAACGACAGTAGCTCTTCATGACTGGGCTACTTACAGTGAAATGAGAAATTTAGCGACTCAGCGTTATGGATTGGTTATGACAGAGGCCCATCTTCCTAGTCAGACTTTGGAACAGGTATAGTATAAAGTGTTCTTAGTATAGTCTAATGGTAGCTTAATAGTATTTCTCTAAGGCAATTTTTAAAAAAATTTTATTTAGTACGTGTTTATATTTCAAAGTTAAAACTGAAAAGAGAATATTTGCTATATATAAAAACCTCATAGTTGAGAAGAATAAAAAATTAGTGCTGATTTGCTTTATGAAAGAATTTATCACATGCTTCCAAATGCTTATACTTTACCTTTTGTTGAAATTTTGGTACATACATGAATTTACATACAGCTTTTCAGAAACAACTTAGGATAGTGAAGTGACTTCTGCTGAACTTTTACAAGTTTAGTCAAGGTCACAGTTAAGAATTTTAAACTAGATATATGTGCTTTAATATCTTAGAAAAATGGTTAAATTTATAAAATTGTTTTTAAATTGAGTGCAAAATATTTAGCTTTATTAATTCAGTAAGCTAATTTACAAAATGGTTGTATCTCAGGAGTGCAGAGATTTGTCTTCATTTAATTTGCATGTAATTCTTTCTAAGATAATCCAGATATAATATTTACTAAAATCCATTAATTTAGTTCCAAAATTTGAAGATCATAATTTTTTGTTCATCTTACTGCATGTATAGGGGCCAGTTCCAGGATCAATTTGTATATCCTTTCATTCACTTATTTATAAAATTAATATTTTTCAAAAATTTGCTAGACACTGCACTGTTACTGGAGAGGATTGCCATTTCATTCCCCAGGGATCTTCCTGACCCAGGGATTGAACCCATTGACTGCTTTGCAGTCAGACTTGACCACTGAGTCTCCTGTGAAGCCCTCAGTATGTTTAGGGATACAAAAATAAATAGAAACAGTCTTAGCTCATGTACCTGGAGCCTAGTGGGAGAAAAATAATGAATAAATAAATTTTTAGATTAAAATGTGAGAAAATCTGTAATAAAAACTTAATCAAAGGGGTGTTGTGATATTACTTTGAGTCCCAATTAGAAAAGCTGTGAAACAGTTTACCTGATACCATTCACTGGATATTAGAGTGATCACTGAGGAATGAAGGGTCCTTACTAGGAACTTGTATATTAAAGGTATGGATGGGTAAGCTCAGTCGCTCAGTCATGTCCTACTCTTTACGAACCCGTGGGCTATAGCCCACCGGGCTCCCCTGTCCATGGAATTTTCCAGGCAAGAATACTGGAGTAGGTTGCAGTTTCATTCTCCAGGGGATCTTCCTGACCCTGGAATCAAACCTGCATCTCCTGCATTGACAGGAGGATTCTTTACCACTGAGTCATCTGAGAAGTCCTTACATTCAAGGTAGTCTAGTATAATTAAAAGAAGCATAAAGATTTGGAATCAGACTTTCTAAAATCCCTGGGTTCTGCCTCTTCTTAGCTCTTTGACTTTGCAGAACTCTCTTAGTTTCATTTTCTTCAGCTGTGGAATTTTATTTTTTTCCTCCTTTTTTATTTTTTAAATTACGAAAGTAACACATTTATATAGGAGACTTAGAAAATACAGAACAAAGTTATATATAGTCCACTATACATTACAATTATTTTTTTAAGTAGATCAATTAAGATTTTTAGTTGGCGTTTCCTTATCAGACTCTCAAAAATTTATAAAATGAATAGAAAAGTAGAAGGATATAGTAGACCTGAGAAACACTATGAATCAATTGAACATAATTAAGTTTTATACAATTTTCACACAATAGCAGGATACAAATTCTATTNTTTACTTTCTGAAAAATATAGAAAAAAATCCTTGGGAAGACAAATATTCTCAGAAGTGGTAGGGAAATGATTGTGAGTCATTGATCTTTGAAGTTTTAACTTTTCCTTTCTACACAAAACGTATAACAGTCAGATTTCCCCAACCAGTTAGTCCTGATTGTATGTGTCAGAAGCCTCTTCTAACCTTTGATTGTATGTTTTCTGTAGTTCTTTAAAATAATTTAAAAATATTGGGTGACTTAATATAAGCAGTAAGTTACTATATTGATAAGTTTGATTATTTTAAACTAATAATAATAGAACTTATATGTGGATTGTTTTGTAGGGCCTGGATGTCTTGGAAATTATGAGAAACATTCATATATTTGTATCTCGATACCTCTATAATCTCAATAATCAAGTGAGTAAGTTTAAAAAAAAATTTTTAATGTGGGTGTGTGTATAGTAGGAAAGGCTGAGGGGCAAAGGATTGATTCTTAGCAGTGAAAGTTAGTAAAATAAAGGAAACAATGATTGTTTAGAGATCTTGTTTATTTCTTTGCTTTGACTGTATTATCTTCTTGAATGACTTTCCAATTATCTCTAATAAAATAGAGTTCTTAAATTCTTAGGTTAACTGACCAGTGTTTGCTATGGATTGTGTTTGTTTTATTACAGATTTTTATTGAGCGAACAAGTAATAACAAACATTTGAACACTATTAATATTCGGCATATTGCTAATTCAATTCGAACACACGGCACAGGAATCATGAATACAACAGTAAGAAGCTTCTGGGAGGGGGCGTGGTACAGATGTTTGATGCTGCTGTTTTGTTTGGAAGTTAAAAAATAGTTTTTTCATTGAATATTCTGATAAATACACATTATTACCTGTTCATAATACCTGAATTTCCATTTCTCTGGTGTAATTGAAATATCTGGCACTGAAGTTGTGTTAGATGGAAATGGAAGCTTTGTGATTCAAAAGGCACTTTAGAATGTCTTACCATCTCAAGATCATCATCATGAATAACATTGGAGATTTGAAGACATCAGCATAAATACGTATCTATGTGGATTGTCTGATGGTCTGAAAGTTGCTTTTGGAAGCAAATCATTGACAGTTTGTTTACCATCAGTCCCTGCTGGCTGTGCCACCAGGCAGAGTCTGCCTGCGATGCAGGAGACCCAGGTTTGATCCCTGGGTTGGGAAGATCCCCTGGAGAAGGGAATGGCACCCCACTCCAGTATTCTCACCTGGAGAAGTCTATGGACAGAGAAGCCTGGAGGGCTACAGTCCATAGGGTCGCAAAGAGTCAGACATGACTGAGCCACTAACACTTTACACTTACATGCTCTTTTTTGGGGGAGGGCACTTACTAGTTATTGATACCCTTAAAAATAGCAATTTGCTAAAAATATCTCAAATCTTCCTAAAAATGGGCAGTCATGTGAGAGAATCAATCATTTGAGCTTATATGCTATTTGTCCTCTGGGAAAAAGAGAAATCTTTAAATTTACCTGCTTTTCAGGTCACAGTTTCTCCTTGAGGAAAGAATAATGCGAATGTTTAAATAGTACGATCTTGATCTTATTAAGCGTATTTGGGAATAAGGGAATAAGGAAAAGTTACGTGACTGGAAGGTTATAAAGGACCATTTTTAGTGTAGTGGAGAAGCTGTATTTGACCTGATAAGTAATATGGTTGGAGCTCTTTGTTAGTGGTTACCAGGAGAAAAAGGAGACATGGATGGAGTTTCAGATTTCAAGTCAGGAATCATCTGCATAGAGATTTCTGAACCTTTCAGGATCAAACTCCTCTGACCTCATCTATCAACCATTCATGTAACAAATGTAATTATGCTTGTATTTTATGTGTCTCAGGCACTGTGCTAGGTGCTGAGATGAGAAAAACAGACATTTCTTGCTCTCATAGTAATTGTACTCTGGCGGGAGAAACAGCTGTTACGCAGTTAACCACACTAATAAATGTAAATTCCTGATGTCTGGTGATGGTGAGCTGAGCACAGAAAATATCAGAGACTGGCAGATTTTCCCACTATTAAGATGGGTAATAATCTTCTAAGAACTACTACAACTGAGGAGATCACGAAAAAGCAGTGTTTTAAGCTGCAAGAAAAGTTCTGAGAAAGCACCCATTTCCATAACTGGGTGATGAAGACT